TGTAAAGCTGCTTTGAAACTACCGGTAAATGTATTGTGAAAAACACTATGCAAATAAATGTGAATCGAATGGTGTTGAGTTTTTTTAAACTGAAAGCGTGCTTGTTGCTGTGGCTTTATACAGAAATTTAAATGATTTTCGATGCACTACAGTGACTATTTTCTTACAAAAACTGCCATTACCGGTAATTATAAAATAGATATCAAGGATGGGCCACTGAGAATAATTACCGCATTTACACTTACAATGATAATTTCTGCTCGTCGAGCAGAACCTGATCAGAACACAAACACCAAAATGGAGCTAAACTGTGGAAGCCAGCATGCAGTCCGATTTAATGAATTAATGTTGTGTGCCTGTCACTGCATGGAGCCTGCATCTAAAATCATTTCAATATTCTATACTTCATAAAAGCCTTTATTGCAAAAGATCATATTGACAAATAGCTTTACAAAGGATATTCACCGTATTTTCTGATGATTGCAGAATGCTATGCATTGCAGAAATAGGCTTATCATCACACTGCTTATGTGTGTGAACAGTGTGAAACATGCTAATTTGGCCGCCGAAGTAAATACTCTACAGTTCAAAAGTTTGGAATCAGACTTTTTTTTATTATTAAATTTTTTTTTACAGCAAGGATACTTTAAACCAATCAAAAAAGTGGTAATAAAACAAATATAATGTTACAAGAGATTTTTACTTCTAATTGTATTTCTATTCACCGAATAATTAAAAAAAAAATGTATCATGGTGTCCACAAAAAAAAATATTAAGCAGCACAACAGCTTTTAACATTGATAATAAAAAGAAATGTTTCATGAGCAGAAAATGATCATATTAGACTTATTTCTGAAGGATCATGTGACACTTAAGACTGGAGTAATGATACTGTAAATTCAGCTTTGCCATGCCTGGAATAAATTAATGTATTAAAAATAGAAAACAGTTATTTTAAATTGTTATAATATTTCATAATAAAATAAAATAAAACAGCCTTGGTGACCAGCTAATTCATAATTATTTATGCTTGTTTTCTTGCATTACATAACAATTCAGGCTGCATTGGTCACATATCCATACCGAAATCAGCTTTAATGATTTTTTAACTACATAAATCACATGGATTTACATTGACATAAATAATATTAAAAACCTTGGTCATGACCTTTGAAACAATGCTTGAGAAGCTTATTTGTTTGGTGTGGGAAAGTAACTCTGAGCTATAGGATTAAATGCTCCCCAAATGTTTTGAGAAGCGTTTCAGTCAATTGCAGCATGCAGGAAATTGAGCGAGTTTATGAGTAATTTACTGCTGCAGCAGCTGTGTTTGCTAGTTCTCTGACATTTACTGTTTAACTCGGATGTGTGCAAAAAAAGAAAAAAAGAAAAAAAAAAGGCTTTTTCAAAAGATCTAATATATTCTGGATAAACACATATCCCATTAATGGTAATTTGTTTAAAAGTTGCAAAGATCTTTTGTCTAAATTCTGGGAACCTCAAGAAACTTTTAGGAATGTTGTTACACTGAACATAAAAGCAGACATTCATGGAAGTTAAAAAGTACTTTGCCATCAGGCCCCAGTTCAGAGGGCATACACTTGAAGTTTGTACTATCTCAGATCGCTAGTATCTCAAATCTATTTTTACCCTAACAAACCTGTTACCACTTCAGTGCTCTTAAACATGTTGGAGAATAGCTGGCAATACAAACATAACACAGTCTAATCCTTCCCTTTAATTTCACGAATACATAATGCACTTTTCAACTTCCAGAGGTGGTTAGTGGCGCGGTCAAGGTCTCAATCTTCTACCAAAGCCCAGAAACTCTTCGCCTAGTCAGGACCTGTCTGTCTGAATATTAAAGACTACATGACATTAATCCCTAGCACACTACTCTCAAATGGCTAATGAGGGCCACTGAGGATCACTGTCTGGCTCCTCCGCATGGACGCTCAAATGTGAGTCTGGGAACTCAGTCACATGGTCACTCTCAGTCTCCTTCCACTTTTAATTGCCACATTTCCTGTTTCTGATATAAATAAATCCCCCTATCTCTTGAAAATAAGCAGCAAAATCAAAGTAGGCCATGGAAGATGAAAGGAATTCTCAGTTATCCTTCAGATGAGGGGCTCTCTACAATGGATTAAACCTTCTGAAGCTGTTTTCTGATCTAAGACTTATTGTTATACTGTTACATCGGAGTATAATTGCATTGCTAGAATTCAGTTTTTAAAATGGGGGGATTATAAAACAAATCAGTGTTATTACAAACACAAGATAAAATATACATTTCACTTGTTCTTCATTACACTGAAGTGAACATGGGCCTCTGGACTTAACAATTACCCACAGAACGATGAGGGGTCAATACATGTGTTAATCCAGGACAGGTAAGTCCCTAAATCATACGGTGGCCGAGACAGCTCAACGCGCTGCAACTGAAGCAAACACATGCAAATAGAAAAAAACGCGTGCAAAAAGAAAAAAAACGCATGCAAATAGAAAAAAACACATGCAAATAGAAAAACACGCGTGCAAATAGAAAAAAACACCTGCAAATTTAAAAAAAACATCTTCATCAGTTTCACAACACACGTGTGCTCCAAATACAGAAACGCGCTGCAAAAGTTCACAACACCACCAAATACAGAAAACGCGCTGCAAATAACACAGACCACAACGGAAATGTTTCCAGGGGAACCAAATAAGTGACGAACCCGGCTGGGACGTGCTTATTGCTCGTGAGCTTCCCTATGCCCTACTCCCTTCGAAGGGCAGATTGCAGAGCCCTAAAAGTGGGACTGTGGAGTGAGCAGGGCTCTAGTGTGCCATTATAGCCGTGTGGAACGCACTTGATGAAGGGAGCAACGAAAGACAACGTAATTTCCTCATTATTTTCACCTGGGATGCTCCCATGACAACGCAGCACAGTGTCCATTAGCTGGTCTTACGACAGAAATATCATGCTGTTAACATTACGGATGCAAATACATTTTTATTTTTAGTTTACAAAAAGCTTTTAAAATATGCGTTATATATCTGTGTCTCAACTTTAAAATTTTGGACCCTACATTACTTAACATTTCTTACGAAACTTTTCTTTTATAAAAATGTAATAACATGAAACAATTTGTACAGTGTAACTGATGTATAGATAAATATCTTTCCTTTCCATGTTTTTCTTCTTTATCTTTTTTATTTATTTATTTTAGTTTCCAGCTCATTGTTCTTTTCTCATTTGTATTCTGATGACATTGAACATATTGTTAATACATTTTGTACATTGTATACAAGTTGTATGTCATAAAAAAAATGTAATCTCTGTATGTTTTTCACAAATAAATAAATAATTAAATAAAAGTATAATTTTAAGCTGTAAGCACCAGCACGCATAGATTTGTGGATATCTATGCCAGCACGTCCCAGCCGGGTTCGTCACTTATTTGGTTCCCCTGGAAACATTTCCGTTGTGCTCTGTGTTATTTGCAGCGCGTTTCTGTATTTGGTGGTGTTGTGAGTATTTGGAGCACACGTGTGTTGTGAAACTGATGAAGATGTTTTCTTAATTTGCGGGTGTTTTTTTATTTGCACGCGTTTTTTTTCTATTTGCATGCGTTTTATTTTATTAGCATGTGTTTTTTTTTCTATTTGCATGCGTTTTTTTCTATTTGCATGTGTTTTCTTCAGTTGCAGTGCGTTGAGCTCTCTCGGTCACCGTAAAATCACCCTCTCAAAGCAAATTATACCTAGACCAGTCACATCTTACATTCATAAAAGCAAACAGATAGATAATGCACAGACACACACACACACACACACACACACATTAAATAAACAAGAAAATACATTATCACTCAAAAATGTTTGGGTCAGTAAGAAATTCATTTTAAAATTTATTGTCAAAAGTGACAGAAATTTCAAAAAAATATCTTTTTTTAAACATTCTATTCATCAAGGAATCCTAAAAAAAAAAAAAAAAAAAAAAGTACCATGGGATGATTTCCACAAAAATATTAACTGTTTTCAACTTAGATAATCATACTTGAACACCAAAACAGCATATCAGAATGATTTCTGAAGGATCATGTGACACTAAAGAGACTGATGTAACAGTAATGGCTGCTGAAAATTCAGCTTTGCCAACACAGGAAATTACATTTGAAAATATATTAAAATATAAAAACATTTATTTTATATTATAATTTATAATGTTCTATCAAATAAATTATATATTATATAGTTTTCACCAATGGTTATATCTCAGCAACTACAAGGCTTTCACAAAAAAAGTCCAATTACACAAGTGTGTTTTCTCTGGCAGCACAAATTCAGGTAAGAATCAACAATAGATGTGACCTAAAAAGTTGAACTATTGTTTTCAAATCAGGAGGGTTTTGGGGTCAGGCTGTCACAAAAGGTGTTTTATTAAATATTATCTAATTCATTACAATATTGGTTGGCCAAAGAAATGATATTTCAGTGTAATATTTGCCGTTTCATTAATTGTTTTACGGTTTAAGTTTGAGTAGCCTACAGAACTTCTAATGGCAGGCGCCATTGTAAGAACCTGCAGGCAAACGCCAACCTACCCTAAACATTTTTCTTAATTTACTTGAGTAAACCCGTCAACAAGCGCTAGTCTAGTCTGATGGCGTACGTTCTGAATGAATCAATTACAAATCTTAAGTCCTTGCTGCTCCACATACAAAGTGTTTCATTGATAATAATCGGCTTCTCAAGAAATCCACTTAGACTGAATCCCTCCCTCATCTCTCATGAGATAAGGACAAAGAGTCGTCTATTTTGGGGGGCACGCATGTTCCCCACACAAACAAACAGAAGAAGCAAACGAAGGGGGACATATACTTGCCTTTTCCAGGTGTAGCCGCCGGGTGGGGTGAAAGGTGGGGAGGTACTTTACCCACCATTCTGTTCGGGAGGGGGGCAGGACTCACAGGGAGGAGGAGGTTTATCAGATGGTTTGTCTGCTTTTGAGTCTCTATTGAATCTGACGTTCAGCTCTGCGCTCTCAAATGAGAAACGACTCCCACCAAAATCGCAACTTTTTTTGTTGCATCACAAGCCCAAAAATCGTTGGATAAACTTTGGTCGGGTTGATATTTTTTAAAGAGGTTTTGTGCTGGTTTTGCATTGATTATTTCTTGTGATTGCGTGCAACTGAATCTGGAAGTTTTCTTTGGACTGAAGTCACGATGTCAGATATCTCAGTCAATGATCATCTGGAGGGGATATTGTCTGATTTCGAGGGTAAGTGCATTAAGTTTAATAAGTGATTTATGGAGCCATGGGAAACTTTTGCAAGTGTAGATTATTTAAAAATAAATTAAGTCTACAAAAACTTTTTTTTTGTAAATAACTTTTTTCACCACGTGTATGTAGGTAGAATAATAAATATGTAATTTAAATGGATACATTACTAAGAAGTACATATTTAACTTAAGAACTTTTTAAAACTATATTTTAGTCTATTTTGTCATGCACATTTACTGCTGATTATAGGACGAGTGTGAAAGTTTATTTGATGTCTTATTATAATGTTATTAGAAAGGCAATGCTTGGTAAAGAGCCTGACACTATTCCACTGTTGTTCTGCTGCAAGTATCTTATTATCTTAGCATCCAAATCTCACATTTTTACACTGCAGAGAGTGTCAAGAAGCATCTCCACCCTCACCACAGCCGTGTCCACTATTGAATCTGACACATTTCTCAGGAAGAGAGGCACCCTTTCCAATAGATCCGTCATGGACGGACACAGCGGGAACTGGAGAACAATAGTTTCTCTCAGTGTTTAAACGGGTGCTGATGTGAAAAGGAAAAACAAATTAGTTCAAGCACTCAGAATAAAGCACCATCTATTATTATATTTATGTGCTACGTGGAGACAGTTGTGGGCTAAATACTGTCTGAGGAAGAGCTTTAGCTGCTTTGGTAAAGTTGTGGAGCGGTTTGTCTGGTAGATGCTTCAGCAGAAAATCATTCTTGAGAAGACTGTTGCAATTACACGTGATGACAGGGAAAATTGAGGTGTCTTTTGCTAAGCAGTAAACAAATATGTTCATTGGGTGTGTTCCTTCCAGAACTGAAATAGAATCACAGTTCTCAAAGTTTTGCCAATGCTTTAAACAAAATCACATGACATGCCTTGATTTCTGTCAGTTGCAACCAACTTTTATTAATATTTTAAAAAGTACTAAGACTTGAGACAAAGCAACATTGGATTTAATTAGAAGATTGGAGCATCGCCATCCATGTCCCTTTAAGTATAGATGTGAAGGCATAGTGTTCTTAGCTTTGGCCATTACAGTTTTCTCAAATTCATACAGGCCATGTGATTCCTAGTAGCAGATGCCACAAGAGAGATATTACATTCTTTCAGCTTCACCTCAAACCAGCAAATAGGGTCATTTCCGAACAAGAGACCAGTGTGCCGCCATGTGCTTGAGTGAAGATAGACAGAACCGCTGTTCATGTTGAGGAAAACGCCTCTTGGAATGTTGTGGGACGTATAGTGAGATCCTTGGTTCTTTCATATGGAGTAACTGTGAAACGTAGTCATCCATTTCTTATCAGTAGAAGTTTAATTGTAGGCATGAACTTTCGTGATCCAGAGAGATGTCTGTTCAGCGGGTGACGACGGATGCATTTCCTGTAAATGTGAATGTGTGGAAATGAGGGAAAGCCCCCCTCCTCCCCCCCCCCATTGAGTAATTTGAGACTGACCCATTAGAAATGGCATATGCTGTATTTTGAGGCTACATTTTTGATCAAGCAGAGCCAGGGTCATATGCTCTTGAATAATACTGATTTACTGATTGTGATAATACTGATACTGGTACTGATTCTAAACTAAAGTTTAGATTAAAACAAAAGACGTTGGTTTTCATTGCTTTTTCATCCTATACATTCCTCATAGCATTATGGGAGTCATAGAATAAAGATTGAGGAGAAATAGGGGCCCGGGTAAAGCCTTATGGGATAAGGAAGCCTAAGCTTTAAGGATTGTGTGAAATATCTATGTACTGTGTTTATGTATGTGTGTATGAGCACTACTGGGGAGGAAAAATTGGACCGTGCCAAGTTAAGTTTTAGAATTTTGGCGTATATAATATTACTCAACATGACACACAAACTGACCTTGAACTTCAACTCTAGAAATGTGCAATTTAAGGAAAGACTTACTTGACCTTCTGATGTCCTTTCGAGATGTTATCTGTTCTTTCTGCAATATAAAATACCACTTCACAAAATAGTTGTCCAAATAGTGGCTGTTCAAGCTTACACTATGTAATGTCATACCATACCATATGTTACCCGTTTACCGGACAATATATGTGGAATCTAACCACAGCTAGCCCCACTATTATTCATACACAGAATTCATAGTATGGATGTATAAATATATCTTTTAATAATTTTCCTCATTTATTTATTTTTCTTGATTATTTAACTTTTTTTAAATGAAGATCATGTAAACAGTGGCACCAAGCTTTTTAATGTTGCATTTTGTTATGTCAGTCATAGATATTTAATGTATGATTGCGCTAGATTGGGGGCAATTACAGTAACATGCCTCTTTTTATCTTGGCTGCATCTCAAAGACTCCTATGTGCACATACCTTCTAAATCCGCCATTTGACTGTCTCTTTCTAACTCAGCTCAGCCATAGTTTGATTGTTATTCCTAGGAATTGGTCTTCTCGAAACTAAGCATATGTACCTGAGGGTCTTGCATTAATCGACCTTTGTTTACCCTTTGATCATTATTTAGAAGAGGTACTTATCGTTTTTGAGATATTTCCCTTAGATCAGATTCTACAAAAAGCTGCCAAGTTAAAATTAGAAAGACACCGGAATCTGGGAGAACACAAAGTGGCTCAGGCATGTTTCTATGTAATTGCCTGACAGCTGATACCACACATTGAGTATATGTGGACTGAAGCAAATCAAATACCATTATCAGCCATGCATTCCTTTTTTTAAACTTTTTTTCCCATTTGGAACATTAGATACCAAATCTGAAATGGTAATAAAAACACACTGGTGTTGAATGGCACATGTGGTTATACTGGATCAGTATGATGGAGGAACTAAATTCAACTCAGGGTAAAAAGGTGATTAGAGAGTATCTGTGGCTATTTGAACGTTTTTCATGGCCCCCGGGGGGTGTAAATGCAGCGCCTTATTCGCATCGCTGCAATGTTGAAAATGGCGGCTCGGAATTCAGCTTCCAGATGTGCCTTAGCAGAGGTGGTCCGAACAACGTCTGAGCTATGTGCTTAGGGTGGTGTTTCAAGGGGTCGTCTGAGAATACCTGTGAGGAATGTGATGGTGGGGGATGGAAAACCACAACAGGCCCAGGCTTGCCCCCCTACCCCCTGCCCCCCCACAAAAAAACCACGCACACACACACACACACACACACACACACACACACACACACACACACCCCCCCACACCCCACCCCCCAATCACATTATACTCTCCCTCCCTAGGTGCATCTCTAAAAATTTTCCTCAGAGGGCTATCTGATTAGGAAAGAACCCACATTTATTACTCTGGAAATATAGGCTGTTGCTGATTATCTTCATGTGATTAACAGAAATGGCATAGATATACATCCATCAGCGACTATGTGGTGTCTCCTTTACCTTCCCCACCTTTCTTGTTTACTTCTCAAACATCACCAGGTCTTTCTCTGTTTGCCTTGCAGCCCCACACCATAAACTTTAGGTCCAAAGTAGCATGGCAGCTAGTGTCATAAAATCATGAACTGCATGATCCCGAATCTATGGCCCTGTTTACACCTGGTATTAAGATGCGTTTTGCCTGATCGGATCACACGTAGACTAGGTAGACACACCCGTTTACACCTGGCTTTTTAACCACTTCTGTCCTGATTTCTTCGAGGGGAGGGTCTATGGGTGGTTAAATGCAGTTTTTTTTTTTAGATATTTCTATCTAATGGACAAAATAATCTCTGCACAATTTACATATGAACTCGACCGGAGACGACGTAAAAACATACGGAGAGCATCTGCTTTCGCTTCTGCTCTTAGAAATCAGGAATGGTGAGAGAACATTGTGCTTAGTATGTTTTTCATCTTCAAACCAAACTTAGGTCTCCAGCCAACAAAGTTTAAATCCCGTCTGGCTAGCGTGCTTCCCATAATGTTTATGCATTAAGTCAGTAGGCGGAGAGCAGGCGGTCTTTTGTGGCTGTGCGAACGCATTCGACCACATTAGCATCTATACTACGAAAGCAATCTGGTCAAATGTGTTTATGACTACCTCTGGAAGTGGTCAAAAGTGTACAAGCTCAAAAAGTTTTTGACCCCCCTTTACACCTGTATTTACCTGTATGTGAATGCACAGAACACATAAGGAAACATCTCTTTTATTCTTCCACATGCGGCTTCTTTTAGAAGGGGTCAGAGATATATTGACAAACCACAATTCAAGTCAAGTCACCTTCATTTATACAGCGCTGTTTACAATACAGATTGCTTCAAAGCAGCTTTACAGTGATAATAGGAAATTAATGTAACAAAGATTTGTTTTGGCTATATAGCAGCTCTAGAAGAAATTCATTGTCCAGCTTATGTAAGTTTTTGATTGATTAATTTTTCATTGTAAAAATCATTGGTTATTAACTTAGGGGCCACTTACACAACACCGTTTTTAACTGAAAACAGAAAAATTTTAAAGTGTTCTGGCCAATCATTTACACGACAACAGTGTTTTTGTCGCCTGAGAATGCAAACTTTGAATTTAAATAGTTTTCAAAGTGCATGTTTTTTTAAAACGATACCGTTATAATCTCCGTATAAACTTGGCATGCACATACACACATTACGTGTTTAGTCCCCCGTCCCCTGCTCCTCTCCATCATGGCGAATGGCAGCAGGCTTCTGCACACGGCGAACGGCGGCGACTCCTCCGCTCCCTCACGGACGGCAGCCGCCCCTCCAGAACCAAGAAGGCCGGCAGTGAGCTCGTCCATCCACCCGGCAACTCACTCCAGCGCACCGCCTCGAGCGTCCATGGCGACAGACTCCGCACAGCCATGCTCGATTGCACCGCGGATTCCCCAAAGTGGCGAGGGCTCTTTGACAGCGCGTTCCTCCTCCTTCCCGGGTTTCGGCACCAGTGTAACGAGGTTAGATGCTATGGGAAGAAGGAGATGGGAACCTGCGAACATTCAACAACTTTAATAATAAAATAAACCAATACAAAATGAAAGTAAAGACAGCAGCCCCTCACGGACTACTACTGTCACATATAACAAAACACAACATAAAATCCAAGCCTGGCCCCGTCGTCGCTCCTCCTTTTATGCTTCCACTCCTCCGTTAGAGATACGTATGAAGGTAAAAGAGTAGCAATACTCGAGAGCACATAGATGTGAATTTGAGAACTTGTACAATAAATATTCGTACTTGTATGTGAACATTTACACTCACAGCTCCAATGTGAAAACCTGTAAAATAAAAATCTGAACTCTACTCTTTTCGCGATATATGAGGTGCAAAACTAATTTGTGCACTTGCAACTCAGTGGCAGTGAGAGAGAAATTGGGGCGGGAGCGGGGGTGTTCAAAGGAGCCATTTTATTGGTTGGCGCCTAGCCAATGAAATGGGACTTCTATTGTATGCGATGATGTCACGAAACCCGCCTCCTCGTGGATGTTCTGAAACGCTAACATGGCTTAATGCATTAGACAGATATTAAAAGAAATAAATGATATTATCAAACTTAGTAAACACCATACTAATAATGTATACTACAGAAAAGCAGATGAACACAGAATATGAACGCAACGCATTTAATTAAGACAGTGGTATGAAACACCCCCGCTCCCGCCCCACTTTCTCTCTCACCGCCACTGAGTTGCAAGTGCACAAGTTAGTTTTGCACCTCATATATCGCGAAAAGAGTAGCAAAAGTCAAGGCGCGAAATTTGAATTTGTAGTGACAGATTTGAGAAGTTGCAAGTGTCAAATTGAGGTTGTATTGCGAATGTGAATGTACGAATAAATGCAAATATATGTTAGTGACTGTCATTGTATTTCTGTGAATGGCATTTTACACATTTGTGACTACTTGTCTGCAGCTTCAAATTCAGAATGCTGGTTTGTGACTATTATCTGTGAGTGCAAATTTCAACATTCAACTTCAGATTTTTATTTTACATGTTTTCACATTGGAGCTGTGAGTGTAAATGTTCACATACAAGTACGAATATTTATTGTACAAGTTCTCAAATTCACATCTACGTGCTCTCGAGTATTGCTACTCTTTTACCTTCATAGATACGAGACTGGTGCGTCACGCAGGTGTTGCTTATCATCAATCACGCCATCGGCCTCGCGCCGTTCTCTCACGGCCCTCGGCCTTGTCCTGCTCGCCACAGTCTATTTTTTTCTTTCTTGTCCATACTATGAAAGACAATGAAGCACAATGTTGTTTTGGATGAAATTGACAGTTGAAAATTGAAATGTTATTTTGTGTTTCACAGAAGAAAGAAATGCATACAGGTTTGGAGTGACAGCATTTTAATTTTGGTTGAACTATCCCTTTTGATCATATTTCAGAAACCAATGGGTTTATTTAGCCCATGAGTCCATCAAATTTTTACCCTGGGGCCAAACATTCCCAAGCTGTATTGAACATGGTTAACAAGAAATTACAAAAGGGCCCAAAATGTCCTTAATGAAGGAATTTCAACAAATTCTTCCACAGGAAGCATATAATCATCACAGGAGGAATTGACATCCATCCCAAAGAGCCATAACATGCAGCAAACAGTCTCGATCCAGAGGAGAGACAAGGCTTAGCCGTGAGGAAAAAGGGAGCAGAGAGAAGGAGCTTCTCAGGTTCCTCTCTTTTATCAGATTGTTCGGGCATTGTGCTGCTCCATGTGTTAACAGAGAGGATTAAACTGCAGCAAAGCTGAGTGAAAGAATATTGAACAGCGCAGAGATGGTGCGCTCTGCTGCCAGTGTAATTATTTCCTGAGCGTTTGACAGGGTGCCAGTAATTACCTGATACCAGCCCCTTTTTTATCTCAGTCAAAGGGTAGTACAAGTTTACACTTGCATGTGCTGCACCGTAAAAAAAAAAAAAAAAAAAAAAAAAACTGTTAGACTGTGCCACTTGGTTTGCTGTCCCTCCCTCACTTTGTGTCTTTTCTTTCGGTTTCCAAAACTGTAGTCAGTTAAAGTAGTGCATACTTCTTTGCTAAAGTGCACTTCTCCATCACTTGATTGCCATTGTGAGAGTACACACTGCAATGGTGTGGTGTGTACCACCCTAATGGTGGTGTTCTCATATTAAATGACTTCTGGGGTGCTGCAGACAATGGCATTGTGTGTAGCAGCGAAGCACAGGCGGCCTTACCAAGGGACTTGCTGCTGGAATTCGATTAGGTCTAAACTTTCACAGCTGTGCGGATGATGATGGGCGAGCTGAAACAAAGGGTCTGTGGTCTCCTCACTGTAAAAGAGGTGGCTGTTCCAGCGTAAAAATCTGATTGCATTTAGTGCCTGTAGTCTTCTTGACTCTAATTGGTAGCATACCATACAGGAAGACAGACAGCCTCGGCTTCAGCCCTGCCCCCTGCTGTGCGAAGATAAAATCAGAGCTGCTGGGTGAGATGCTATGATAGCTTCACACTGATATCTGCGTGTTTATACAAGGCAGCACCTGAAGAGGATTGAAAATCTAAGTTTGCCTCTGACATCCTGTCAGGGTACCAGGGTTTTTGATATGCCAAAGATGGCATGTAAGCTGTGATAGTCTGCAATTACAAGCACCTCATAACATCACACCCTAGGCAGATCCAATTGTCATCACATGGCACAATGGTGTCTACATGAAATACTCAAGATGCCACTTCTAATTGGGTCTGCCACAGAGCCGTTAGGACATTTGTAATGTTCGCCACTGGAATTTTCTCAGTCATGGTGAAGGGCTGTTGTAATCCAAGCCTTCAGCCCCTGACACTGTGTCTTTGAATTGGCCCTTTATGCTGGAGGAAAAGACACAGCCTTTCACAAAGGGAAAAGGTCGGAAAGCACTGTTTGCCTTCAGCTTTGTGTTGCAGCTTCTGAGAATGAGGGGATTATACAGTGTCACTACAATTTACATGCTCCAGGTGTAGACTTACCATTCAGTCCCACAAGAGACTGTTTCCACTGTCTTTTTGTACCTAACATTTCCTTAGCACATATTTTCAATTTAGAAAAAATGGCATGATGCTTTAAAAGTTGATGTAGGGGTGACATGAAGTTCTTTACAATTTTTACTTCACAATCTATGTCATGTGGATTTTGATGCAGCTGGTATTTTAAATTGTATTTAATTAATATTTGCAAAAATCATACTTAATCAGTATGTTTTTCTAGTAAAAAAAATCTAATCAAAATTTAATTTAAAGAATAACATTTACTAGAGGAGAAAAAAATACACAAAAAATACTTATGTAATGTATCTAGTCTTAAGTATATTTATAACTACAATATAATATATTATCTGAATTATTGTCTTCTTTGTATGAAATGGTTAAATTCAGATCGTCAGTGATGTTTGTGCTGTGTACAAACATTTCTGTCTACCTATCCTACTTCTCCAGAAGACTTACAAAACATAACCTCGATGCTCGAATAAAGCATATTTGTTAAGTTGTTATGTCACCCTCAAAGCAAGATTGCACAGACACCAGTGTAATAATGGCTTGGCCCATCAAAATCTGTCTGACTGGCATCTATTCAGTGAGGGCTCCAGGCTGCCCTCACCGTCAACGTCAAGTGTATCCTTTTATGGTTTTGTGCCTCTTTCAATCAAATACAGGAAATGACTGTCCTTGCTGATTGATAATTTCTAGCACAAAAGAAATCCAAAACTTTGATGTATTATCAGTATTATCACAAATTTAGAAATGTTTCCTGGAAAATGATAGCGCACTGTTTTTGGATTATAGCCTTATAGCCTTTGGTTATTAGGTATAATTTAACTTGCCTCATTTTATGCTATGTCAGTTATTTATTGAGCCTTCAAGAGTGTCTTTTAACATTGAAAATTAATCAAATTTGTGTCCTCTTTCCTTATATAGCTTTGAAGAGGTCCTTTGATATCGATGACGTGAATGAGATCCCCACATCTTCTGTCACATCTCCCATCAGCCCGAGTGCAATCCTCAACAAGTCAAATGATGTGAGGAGTCCAGGGAACCAGGTGTCTCCTCCTTACCGCTCCAGGATTAGTATCAGCTGCAGTCCTGCCCAGAGTCCTGTTATGAGAAATAGGATGGTATCCAGTCTCTCCTTCAACCGAGGGATATTGGAAAAGCCCACTATAAATGCCAATTCTGGGATCAACCGAGCTGCCTCTTTTCAAAACAAATTTAATCCCAATGGCTTCATTTCATTTTCAGGTCCAGGAAGTGACAACGACAGTCTCCATAGCTCCTCTTCCAGTCTGGAGTACCAGGCCTCTTCTAAACTCTACTCTTACACAAGCCCTCCCCAGAGTCCTCTTGGTGTTGGGGAATTTAAGGCCCAACGTTTAGGCAGCCCAGCATTGAAGAAGTTCTCCTCCCATGGGAATATGTTCCATTCAGAGCTGGAGGGTCCTCTGGTCATCCCAACTGAACCAATGGGTATTAGCCATGGCTCCATGCCTTCTCTGGACCTCCAGATGGAGACTTCAGGAATGAGACGAGTGATTTCTCCTGGATCACGATTCACCAATACAGGTCCACAGTGGGGCACAAGTCCCCATAATATCCAGAACAGCAGTACCTTTGCAAGGGACTCCTCTCTCAACAACCAGTCTCCTAGACCTAAAGATCCAGTGCGCCTCAACAAGTTCCCTCTTGACCTTGACAACCTAGTCTTCAAGTCTCAGATGGAATCTCCGGGAGCACCTAAACCACCTCCAAGATTCCACGCATTATCCAACAGTCCTATTGTCTCTGCAAGTCCCTCTGCATCCATCAGCAGCTTGGACAGCACCGACCTACCCCTGGCCCACAACAACAATAACAACATCATCGAAAAGAGAGAGCCCCTCACTCCTCCTGGAGCTATCCCAGTCCCCAATATCAGCGAATCTCCTGTGCTGCTTTCTCCAGCCCAGACTCTTCAGTACAACGTAGTCTCTAAGCCCCAAGTGGTCCAGGTGGCCCCTGTCTCTCCTTCCCCATCAGGAGAGATGGAGATCAGCAATGATATTGATCAGGACGATATCCATGCCAAAGAAAGCGTGGGTTCCATATTACAGCGGATTGCCTCTTTCTCCAGAGTGGAGACTAAATTGCCCGTGTTTGATCCAAGTCTGGTCATCCCCCCAATTAATGGCATCAAGAAAGACTCACCAACAATACAACACAAGGAGCTCAAGAGATCTGAAGGTGAGATATAATGTCCTTAATATTTCAGTTCAGGACTTAATAGCTAATTATTAAAGTTGACTGGAAGAACTGGGTCAATGCCCCTGGTGGTTATGCTAGATGTCAGAAAAAGATTTTCTATCGGTTGTGCATTTAAAATGGGAGGTATGCCCTTTACAAAGAATTTTAATAAGTTAAGTAAACAGAACTATGTGGGTCTAAAGGCAGCACTTTATTTGAAGTGCTGCTGTCATCACAACTGTCTTTCCGCACCTTACTGACATACTGTAGAGAAAAGGGTGATGGGAGAGAAGAAAAAAGACACAAAAAAGAGGAATCCCTGGCATATCAACAAACGGTGACAACAGTTCAGTGAAGTCTGTCATCACTTACTCAGTAAAGTGATCCCTGGCAAACATAGCTAAGTCGAACGGTGCCAGAGGCTACAGAATCATACCCTTATACAGTTAAATTTCTCAGGTGTGTCAATCTCTGCTACAATGATCTCAACCCAATCCAGAGACGCCTACGTTACTTACCATTGGGATTAGAGCAATCCAGAAAGGGCTTGGAGTCCTGGCACCATAATTATGTTCTTATGTATGGCTTTACATCGCAATTGACATTTGACAATAATGAATTTCAGAACTGTGGCTTAGTGATTTCAAAGGGATCAGGTTGGAAAGCATATATAGTTCATAGTAGGGTTGGGCGATGTCTACCAAATTGGCATCAGATGATGTCTACAGTAAAACATTGCGATGGACGATGACATCGGGGGGTTGCTTTTGAGCATTAAGCTCCGTTAATGTGGCGTTCGTCTGGAGAAAGAGAGAATGCGCACAAAGCTGAAAGGGCTTGAATGAAGCGCATTTGGCTTTAGATAAAACTATAGAGGATATGGCACTGAAATATCATTACCACAAACTATCTTTAGTGATTGTGGTGTGATCCGCACCGCTGTTTTGACGTGCTGCTCACTTCAACTAGAAACAGTAAAATGGTGCTACCGTTCTGTCTCGCGGTCCGAATGGAAACATGCCGCGGTTCACCATTTGAATATCAGTGGTTTAGTTAGTGTAAAACATACAGCCTATAATTCGTTTGCTGTTTTTTGCAAAATAAAATCTTTAGTGTTTAAATTGTGTTCATTGAACTGGAAGAATCACGATGCCGCCTCAACATCGTGATGTCTGTCAGCCATTGGCGATGGACGATGGCATCGTCTATCGGCCCAACCCTAGTTCAAAGTCAACAGCATGGTTGCCACATATTTACCCATTTGCGGTGTCAAATATCTATTGAATCAGGATATTACTCTTTAAAGTACATTTGCCTAAACAATTATTGATTTTGCAGATGCAAGGCGACTTAAAAAATCAAATCATCATAGTGGTGCTGCTAGTAGACACGGTGAAAGTTACCTGATTGTGACGGATGGCCGAATTTACATGACACATTATAAACTAACATTATAGTCTGCCATAGATACAGTGTCAAAAAGAAGAAGAGAAGAGGAAAAAGGGGAGAAAGACAAAGGTAAAGTGATGTAATTAATGAACAGTTTATCTAATTACACAGTAGTAAGATACTATAATGTTTGCTAAATGGCAGTTATTTTTACCTTAAACTTTATGCAAACAGCTTTTCTGGGTTCTCCAGAGGATTTTGTAACAATCATGTTTTTTAGAAGCATGTACTATCACTTTTTTATTAATGTTTTTATTCTACAGTTGTGCAGTTTTGGGGGGATATATGGCTTTTTAAAAATTTATTTTCCAAAATTAGTAATGATATTTATATAGGGGTTTATTTAAAACAGCAACATTTTATGTACAATTCACATTAAAGAAGATCTACATTTCTCAGTTTCATTCATGGTGAAAACATGAAACGTGCCATAGTTTAGTGATAGATTGCTGTGTCATCAACTGGAAAGCAAACACTTTTGATAGTGCTCAGTAAATAGTTTGTGCATTGATGCAAGATGTTTAGGCTGTAATGTGCTATTTTTGTATAGTTCAACCATTATCAGCCTTTTATATATATATATATATATATATATATATATATATATATATATATATATATATATCATGAACACAATGACGGGGTGAAATGGGCTGTGATGCATGGGGCACCAGGTAAAATCTTGCCTAGGGCAGCAGATTTGTCAGGGCCGGCCCTGAGTTGATGCACTGTAAGAAAGACAACAGAAAGAGTTAAGTCTGTTGATAGAAACAACATGAGCAAACAGAAAACTCCACAGTCCTGAAACTTGGATCAATAATAGTAATGATAAAGATGGGGTTAGGTATCTATAAATCATGGTGTGCTACACCTCTGTGGAACTATGGCAAAGCAATAAAATGGTGACATGTTCATGTTGGATTCACATAAATGGCAATATGTTTCATATAACTGTGGTGTGCCACAAACTGTAATGAATTTTGACATATTTCGGACAACAATACATGTTGGGAAACCTGCGGGTTTGATTTAGTCTGACCAGAAATGAGTTGAGGATTTTTCATCTCCAGATGTTGTATATTTGCCTCCGTCTGTTGTTTTTCCCTTCTTCTTCATTTCCTGGGGTCATGTTGCAATGAGGAGAGGGGTGCATTTCCTGACCCGAGAAAACAGAGAGCATTGAACTGGAGGAAATCGGTGGGCGCCTAAAACTGTGTTTAGACACAGATCCTACTTGTATAGCTTATTTAGCAGCGCTAGTTGTGCATCTCACGAGTAAGCTAACATCAGGGTGGGCGTCTTAACATCTGCACAGATCCCAGGCAGCCAGCCCCCACACTGAAACTTCTCTGAAACATAAACATGACATGAATAATAAAAGTGATTTATAATTTCCAGTGTCAGTAAGTGTGGCAAAATGGGTGCCGCCCCAGGCTTGTACCTTAGGCTGAAATGTGTTGTTTGCTGTTTGTCAGATGGTTGAGCTGTAAAGGCTGCGCTGATAGGTTCGAATACAACCAACTTCGCAAAGGTTGCAACAGTGGAAGTCTGAGATGTGGGTGCTGTTTATGTCATGCTATCTGCTTCAGGCAGTGTTTTTCAGCGGTTCTGTGGTGTCTTGTTTTCTTTTCTTTTCTTTTTTTCCCCTCAAAATATCTGGGCGCAGTGCGTACGGATGTAGTCCTTTCACAAAGCCAATGGGAAATACCCGCCCATGTTTTCATCATGTTTCATGTGCATTATGACTTGTTTTACTTTTTGAAATGGGGGTATATTTAGGCCTCACGTCATCCACCCATCATTGAGCTATATGTAGGCCCATTGCACTGTTTCCTGTGATAACAAGGAAAGAGATCATTCACTGTTGAGGCCAAACACATGACATGCTCCCAACTGCGTTTATAGCTGTTCTCCTGGGACAACAGGATTTGTCGGTTAATTTATCCTGTTAGCAAATATGCTAATGTTAATGCCATAAGCTATCAAATGGGGTTATCATAATGACTTGAAGTACATTAAGAATTTATTTATATATATATATTTTTTTTTTTATTGTAACGAATCCACTGGTGGCAAGTTGCAGAACCCAAGTGCAGTTTATTTACATCCAAACGTGATCAAAATAAAACAAAACAAAGACTTGACAAAGCATAACATGACAGAACTTGACTTGACATAAACTAACATTCACCACAAAGTGGTTACACGAACAATACTTGACAAAGACACATGGCAAACATGAGGGCTTAAATACACACGATAGGTGTGTTCGACATCGGCTGCGGCTGGATGTAACCGATCGGCGAGAGTTGCCGCTTTCTCGCACTGCGTTTGCATACTTTGTCACAGTTGAACTGAAATAAATGCAATATTTGCCAAATACACAGACGTTGTATAAGCAGTACATTAATTATTAAATGGAAATGTCTCTGAAACGTCTGTTTGCACAAAGAATAAAGTTCAACATACTATTTAAATACCAATGTAGTTAGATCTACGTTTTTTTTATCAGTTTTATTTTGATAAACATGACACAATATAACATCACGACTACATGAAAAGAGATTTTACTGTTTTTTTAAAGATTTGACTGATTTGTAAACATTAGTGCAACTGAAGGTGTGAGAATAAACATGAAACACACGTGATCGTTGTCATGTGGTGTATTCGGCCAATTGTGGAAAAGTTGTGTCATCATCAGGGCTCGTGCAGCTGCTCTGGAGAAGCTGCGCAAAATGAATCAGCCATCTGCTCTCGAACCTCTCTCGCGGTACTGTGATGGCACGCGTGCGTCACAGTCACGTGGCGTCGGCTCTGTCTCAATTCAGACAAAATATCTAACCGGCATGTGCTGCTTCAAGTCAGCCGCCGATCAGGCTGCACAGCGTATGAAGTGGAACAAGCCTAAGGACTAAACAAGACTACCTGTGAACATGATTAGACAATTAACCAATGACAATATGACACAAAAGACTAGGGAAGCACATGGCAGGATCACATGAGGGCAAGGGAGTCACATGACAAGACAGGAAACATGACTGACATGAAACATGAACCAAAAACCAAAACTAGTAACATGAACATGAAATAAAACTCAAAACTAGACAGAACAATTCTCTTGTAAGCTGCTTTCAGATTTACATACTATAAGAGTATGTACTACATTTGATAAAGAACTTTCTTCTCAACTGTTAAAAAAAAGTATGGATGTACATACTGTAAGTATGTGTTGTATGTAGACTTGCCAGGTAATTCCTGTTCTACTCTGTACAAGGGACTACCAGTGTAAAATGTTGTATCTGGTAAGTATAAAACATCACGATTAAAACTTACGTAATAATAATGTTCCTTATTATTAATAAGTGACATCTGCTTAGCGTGTTGGTTGTTTTTGTTGAACAAAACAATTATTTTTTTCTTTTCTTTTTTTTATTTGTACATTTTTTTTAAATCATCTTGTGTTATTTTGTAGGCAGTTTTGAAATGAAATTTACCCCAGTATCACCAGCCAGCAGTAACACCAGTTGACATTGTTGAAAGTCCTAATATAC